AAGAAGAAGAGAGCATCTCGGGAGCCGGAAGACTCTCCGTCCTACTCCCGAGAGTTCTCCAACTCTGACCTCAAGGCTCAATCGAAGTATAAGCCTCTGACACCAGAAGCTGTGATCACCAGGGAAGAGTTCGACCTGATGAAGCACAGGTTTGACGAGCAGGTCGAGGCGCTCAAAGTCAGGTGCGAGAAGAAAGAGTGCTCGTTTGACGATGGCGACCTGGGAGAATCGCCATTCACCTCGGACATCCTGGAGGCTCCAATCCCTCCAAAGTTCAAAACTCCCACCATGAAACCTTATGATGGGTCTAAGGACCCGAAGGACTATGTTGTGGTCTTCGAAGGCCTTATGGACTTTCAAGCGGCAACAGATGCGCTAAAGTGCCGCGCTTTCCAGATCGCGCTCACCGGCAGCGCGCGCCTGTGGTACCGAAGACTGCCGGCTAGGTCGATATCGACCTACTCTCAGCTGAGAAAAGAATTCATTAGTCAATTCTCTTCTCGGCATTATGATAGAAAGACAGCGACTCACCTCGCCACCATCAGACATAAGGAAGGTGAGACGCTAAAAGAGTATGTCACGAGGTTCCAAGAGGAGCAGCTGAAGGTCGCACACTGCTCCGATGATTCAGCCATGTGCTACTTCCTCACCGGCCTGGCCGATGAGACCCTCACCGTGAAGCTCGGAGAGGAGGCTCCAGCAACCTTCGCCGAAGTTCTGCAAAAGGCGAAGAAAGTCATCGATGGACAAGAACTCCTACGAACCAAGACTGGCCGACCTGAGAAGCAGATCGACCAAAAGAAGCTAAATCAAGAGAAGAGGAAGGTTGATTCTAAACCTAAGGACAAGGGATCGTCCTCTTCTGTCAGCCGAATCGAGTATCGTAGGTCGGAGAGCGGCCCCAGCCGAAGCCGAACTTACAAGCGTTATACTCCTACCACCATCCCTACTCTGAGATACTTACGAACATCGAGGAAAGCGGAATGGAAAAGCTCCTCAAGCGACCTGAGAAGCTCCGAGGAGACCCAGAAAAGCGCAACAAAGATAAATATTCCCGTTTTCATCGTGATCACGGCCATAATACGACAAGTTGCTGGGAACTGAAGCGTCAGATTGAAGACCTCATTCAAGATGGCTACTTCAAAAAGTTCGTGGGTAAACCGAGGTTTAACTCGGTCGAAAAGAAAGAAGAGAGGAAGCGTTCAAGGACGCCGCCTCGACGAGATGACCGACCTGCGGTCATTAACACTATTTTCGGAGGCCCAAGTGGGGGCCAATCGGGAAATAAAAGAAAAGAGCTAGTTCGCGAAGCCAGGCGCGAGGTGTTCATCATCAGGGAGCAGAGATCGACCTGCTCCATTACTTTTGATGATACCGACCTGGAAGGGGTCCACTTGCCCCATAATGATGCACTTGTGATCACCCCTCTGATCAATCATGTCCTGGTTAGAAGAGTATTGGTAGATGGAGGTGCATCTGCAAACATCTTGTCCCTCCCAACATATCTAGCATTGGGGTGGACCAGGTCACAGTTGAAAAAGAGTCCAACACCCTTGGTTGGATTCTATGGAGAATCGGTCTCCCCAGAAGGGTGTATTGACCTACCGGTCACGGTCGGACAAGATGCTACCTAAGTAACGCAGATGGCCGAGTTCGTGGTGATCGACGGCAGATCGGCCTACAATGCCATCTTCGGGAGACCCATCATCCACTCATTTCGGGCCGTCCCCTCCACGTTGCATCAAGTCTTGAAGTACTCAACTCCGAATGGAGTGGGCACGATCCGAGGTGAGCAAAAGACTTCAAGGGAGTGTTATGCATCAGCGCTTAAAGGGTCGTCAGTATGTGCCCTGGAAGAGCAAACCAATAAAGACGACCTACCTAGGGAAGGCAAAAGGCAGTTCTCCCCACCAACAGAGGAGCTCGAGCTTGTTCCCTTACTTAGCCCTGAAAAACAGGTAAGCATAGGAACCAAGCTGGAGGCCACTGACAGGGAGGAACTGATCAACTTCCTCAGATCTAACTCAGACGTCTTCGCATGGTCTCACGAGGACATGCCAGGCATCGACCCAAAGATCATGGTACATCGCCTCAACATAGACCCATCATTCCGACCTGTAAAGCAAAAAAGAAGACCTGTAAATAAGGAGAGGAGTGATGTAATTGTTGAGGAAGTTAA